TAACTTTGCAGGTGTATCTGCAAAACTACCCTATATTTTGTGCTCTGAAATTGGCAAACTAATTTACTCACCTAGATTCCACAATACGCTCTCCATCCTAGCCTTTGTGTGATAACAACTGAAAAATCTGCTGCATGCTAAGAACTACACCAGAATATAAAATTGAATCAAATATAGTTCTTGCTTTAAATGACCTAACAATAGAGGGAGAGATGGATATATACATTTAATTCCAATAAAAGGTAATTAATGCACAAAATGAAATATAACTCCTTGCAACAGAACTGCTGAGGAAAATGACTTACTATATCCAGGGGTTCTGGGAAGGCTCCATGGAAGAGATACCGCCCAAAGTGAGAAGTAAAGATGGATGGAAGGAAAGAGCAGAGAAGACCGAGAGGAGTGTGCTCCTGGATGCACCAGCAAGCATGAGAGAATTTTAGTACAGCAAACCTCAGAATAGTTTTCTTTTTTTCCCCAGACAGCGGCTTGCTACTATGGAAATATAGAGACGTGATTGTGCTAATTCACTTATATTCATAAACCATTTTATAAAACATATTACATAATCCTTAACAATTGCAATAGCAAGACAACATTATGTAATGCCATTTGGTTTATGTGCGTTGTTCCATTTGTCCTTAAGAAGATAACAATATGTGATATAACAATCATTGTTAATTTCCTTTCATCTTGTCTGGAAGTTCTGTATCACTTTTATTGCTTTTGTTTCTTATTTTTTTATTCTCTTATAATAAAAAAGAAGACTGCAACAGCAGTCTTCTAATATTCATGTTCTAGGTAGAAAAATGAGATTCATAAAAGCATCAATAGCTTATTCCAGCCCATACAGCCAGTGATAAAGCTAATATCCCTAACCAGATTTTCTGGTTTTAAACTGAGTATTCTCTTCCTTATACTATGATGCCTCCCTCAAAGCCTTTTCTATCTTACTTTTGCTAGAGGAGCTTCCCATCCATTCCTCTAAGTCTTGGTAAGGCCTTTTATATACTATTTTCCTTATGTCAGATGTCTAGGGGATTCTTCAAATAATCAACAATTGTAATGTTGAGATGTTCTTTAGTCATCCCAGAAAAGTCAAGTGATCAATAGTGCCTAAGCGCACTTATCTAAGAAAAACATTTATTAATTTCCACACACATTATTGTACTCGCAAATATTTATTAAGAGTACACTAGGGGCCACAAACCATTCTAAAAGACTGGGGATACAAGAAGAACAAAAATGCAATGGACAAAATATGCAAACAGGAGTAACAAGAAGCTGACTTTGTGATATTTCAGTAAACATTAAATTTACCTCTGGTGCACAGAGAACCACAATCTTTTGATGACATTTTTACACTGTTTTGTAGCTTTTACAGAGATTCCAAGTTAGGAAGCATGAACACAGGTGAAATCCACAGTGACTTTAAGGAAGGGGGAAAAAAGATATGTATATATACACAAGATAGCTGAGATAATTGTACAGCTAATTTCTATTAGTTCATTGAAAGGATGCATTAGTGCTTATATTGTTTGATCAATCTTGCATGCCTGTACCTGGTAATCTGAGCAACTATTTTGAAGATAACAATATGCAATATAATAACCATTGTTTATTTCCTATCACCTTGTTTTGAAATTCTGAATAATTTTTATTTTTTGTCTCTTTTAGGTCTCTTTAAAATAAAAAAGAAGGGCTAGAACATATCTTATGGGAGTGAATTAATTATAGTTCCAAAGATGAAACCTCTTTGCTTCACAGGCAAAGAAATATCCGTTCTTCTGAGAAAGAAATCGCATCGTCCCTTCACCATGCCCCCAGTTTGATGAAAGTGACACTTAAAAACATTCAGCTCATTTTAGGGAAATTTAAAGTCACAAAGAGAAAGAGACAGTAGAAAAAGGAAAGGAAGATGGCACTGAACAATCACTGCAGATTCTGTAATGGACAAGGTGTGTACATGGGCTGTGTCAGGAATTAAATCCTGATATAGGGAAGCCCTTCCTATTTACTAATTTGTCAAAGACAAATACCAAGAACAAGAGAATACTTGCTCACAGTCCAGTAAAATGTAATGATAAAATGGGATAAAATGACAGTATTTCATGAGGCCCAAAGTTATGTATTGACGCACTCAGGCAAATGAGGAGGCCTCCCAGTCCCTCAGAAAAACCAACGCACTGCCTACAGAACAGAGAGGTGGGCAGGGCTTAACACAATTCTCATTTGACCTACTATTTCCCTCCATGTTTAAGACATTCTTTTTTCTAACTAGCTTGGAATTTAAATACAAATTTGTTCTCCGCTTCAAAGATAAGAGATTTTCTGTTATTACTAACTACAGTTATTTCTATTACTGCCACTATTTTTCAGAACCATCTTTATGTCACCTAACTGTGACACTTTGGCAATCAGCATATGTGTGTGTGTGTGTGTGTGTGTGTGTGTCTTCCTTACTTTGCACTCCTTGCTGAGACAAAATACCTGATATCCAAAGTTAGAGAAGTAAAGGTTTATTTAGCTCACAGTTTATAGAGATTTTAGTCCATAATCTGATGGTTCCAAAGGAGGGTGGTACATGGCAGAGGAGCAACGTGGCATAGGAAGAATACACTGATTTATTAATCACACACCCTGAGTCCCAGCATCACACATTCTAGATTCAGCCACCTCTGAAAAGCTCATCCCGCATGACTGCATGAAGCTTTGGATGGACATCTAGACCCAAACCATGACAATGTGTGTGTGTGTGTGTGTGTGTGTGCGTGTGTGTGTGTGTATTTAGATTTTATTTAGCTCAGGTTCCACAGGGATAAAGTTATCAGAAACATTTTAGTGTTTTTTCTGAAACTTCTTTCAGAATGTTCATGGGTACCCTTCCTGATTTATAGATGAGAGATTTATTGCTGAGAAATTGCTCTCAAGTCTCCAAATATATAATTGAGATATACTTCAATATAACTGGATGCAGGGGAAAATACACTCCTAAAGGCCACTCTAGACCGCCCCACCCCACCTAGGAAATTCTATCCTCAGGGCTATTGTACTACAAAAATGGATGAGCAGTCTACCCCATGCAATGTTTCATTCATTCCTCAGCCATTCCTTGGTAATGGGAAAGTTGTGATCTTCTTCTGATGAGAGTGCAATTCCAACATAGTGTGATTTAATAATGTTTAAGAACTTTCAGAGTTCATTAGACATTGACTAGTTTACACTTTTATTCTATCCAAATAAGAATAGATCCTAGGGAAGAAATGTTCAATGCCTACCAGAATTCCTTCAGAAATGACAGAGGAATCCCTGAAACCAGCAGAAGCCTGGGTAATATCCAGCAGAGAAAGGAAAGCTGTCTTTGGATTCTCCTCTTAATTTGTCCTTCTGACTAAGAACAATACAAAGCTATAATTGGATTTTCCCCTCCTTTGTCATGAGTCTCCTTTCCACCACTTCCTCTCAATTTGCACATGTTTTATTGCAATAAGGCTCAGCTCAAATGTCACTTCTTCCCTAAAACTGGCTCCCACCTAAAATTTATCTGTTTCCTCCACTCAATCAGAGTGTTTCATCTGTGGCACTGAACACATGGTGTCCTACACTGTAATTATTCACTTATAGATCTCATCTTTCTTCCTGGACAATAAAGTCTTCAGCTTGAAAAGAGCCACCAATTTCTCAGAACTGTATTTAACTTTTATGTCACCTAATAGTGACACTTGGACAAGCTTTTAAAGCTTTCTGTTCTTTAGCTGGGTAGTACGAGGGCACATGTGTGAATGTGTGTGTGTCACAGCACATGAAAAGGTATCCAATAATTACTTGATAAACTGGTCCTTTCGGTACCTCCTCACTGTGCACCTAGAATGTGCCAGGCATAACACACACAATCTCTGTCTTGATATGGCTCTTAGTCAAGGGGCACGAGCGAATGCATGCACAGTGCCACCTCATGTATGTCTGCTATTCGACACACTTCAAGTAACCATAATAAGAATAAAACATATGCCCTGAGAGGAGGCTCATAAGATGTCACAAGGGATTTTTATCTACAAGAAAGAACCCTGTTAGCTTCCCTGGGAATTTCCCTGGGGAAACAATATAGATATCTTAGGCAATCAGGCTTAACTTAGATTAAACAAAATGTACAGTGTCCTGCTCTGATGACACAGTGTTCTGAAAGAACTCCACCAAATCAGTCTGATTCTTTTTGCCTCAACAATTGACCTCAGAGATTGAACTTACACTTGACAGAAGCTCCTTTGCTCTCAGACAGAGATCTCAACACATCAGCTACAGTGGTAATAAATGAGTAATGGCTAAGCCCCACTGCTTTCTCATAGCTACAGCTACTAGCTTTCAGGGAAAAAGAAAAAGAAAGAACAGCCAGTCTTCTGAGCCTTAATGTTACATTCTGAAAATTTTCCATCATCTCCAATAATGAGACCCTTGGGAATGCCAAACCTGGCAAAAGTAAAATACTACACATGTTATATTTTAGACAAGGTACACAATCAAAACTTGAGCCACTTTTAGCTAGAGTCTCTACTTTCCAACTACAAAGCACAAAACCAACTTCACCTGCATCTAATTCCTTGTGATTTCAAGGGCCTTTCATCTGTGTTATTACATTTAAGATTCTTCAATAGTTAGATGAAAAAACAGAAGCATCAAGCATTTAAGTGGCAAAACCAAGATCACCTAGCCAATTTAAACTAGGACCAAGGGGGCTGGGGATTTAGCTCAGCGGCAAAAGCGCCTGCCTGGCAAGTGCAAGGTCGTGAGTTCGGTTCCCGGTACTGGAGAAAAACCAAAAACAAAAAACAAATAAACTAGGACCAAAAGGGAGAACACATGTTTCCAAGTCTAAAGGCTTTTCTACTACAACTGCATGTGTCATAGAAAAGATCCAAGGACTGATGCAGTCATTGATCTAGAAACCTCACTTATCCTTTACCGGTCGCATAATGCATCAAGTGGGGGTGTGTGAACTGTACCTCTTTCAGGCAGCCCATGAAGTTGTTGCTCACAGGAGAGCCTGGTAAATCAGCCGTACTTGGGCTTCCTCCCACGTAGAAGAAGTCATCTGAGCCCAGCATGGTGTAGTCCTCTTGAGTGTAGCCCGTTGTGGTAAGAATTCCATCCACGGAGATTGTCACCTGGTGGTGGGACATAGGGACAAAAGAAGAAAATCCCAACAATGACCTCAGAGTCCTATCAAAATCGAATGGCGTCTCCTAATTATGACATCACTTTCATTAAGGTTTTGGTGAGGCACTCTGCCTAATTTGGTTTGATTTGGGTATGTGCAGCCGAGTTCCATTTTCTGGTCTGCCTCCCTGAGCCCCAAGCCTGCATCACCCCTGCACAGCCGTAGATGTGTTTATCAGAACTGCCACACTGAGCACCCTGTTCTACCCATTGCACTCTTAGTCAGGCTAGAAAATGGAACCATCCTCAGACCATATCACTTGTTTCAGTTGATTGCTAAAATGACTTTTTCATTTCTTATATGATTGTTATTTATGGTGGTGATGAGAAACAGCAAGGGAGACATTTGACAATGGGGTTCATTAGGGGTTGGTCTTTGGTTGTTGATGGGTTTTTTTGCCTTTTTTTCTTTTCTTTTTTATTTGTTTCTTTTTTGGCTCATACCATACTGACAAGCATGCATTCAGGGAGGGAAAGAGGAGGTCTCTATTGTGATATGTCAAGGATGACACATGCCATGGACTACCCCAGCACCAACCCCTGCCCTCCCTCGGCTGCCATCACCAGCACCAACAGAAGAAATGACCCAAACCAAAAAGGCGACTGTAACAACAACAACCGAAAAGAAATGATGAGGAGTGATAACTAAAATAATAATAATGCCCACAGGGAAGAAGTAGCACCCACACACCCAACATTCATGATAGGAGCAAAGGGAAGAGGGAAAAGGTGGAGCCTCAGAGCGTGCACACACCATTTGCTGACACACCCATGCAAAAATTATCTAGAGCCAAGAGAGAAGGAAAGAAAAAAAGTAGAGTTGTGGGAAAAGGTGAAGAGAAACAAAGGAATCAAAAATCCACTCCACACTTACATGCATTGAACAAACTAAAGAACAAGATGGAAATGGGGGGGGCGACACTCAAAACTAAGGGATAATCTTCCCCCTGCCTGACACCTCCCTCACTTAAAAAAAAAAAAGAAAAGAAAAAGTCCAAACCCAACCCCAAAATATATGAAGAATGAGAGGAGAATGAAGATTGGAAAAAAATAGAGGAAAGTGGAAGTGGGTTGATGGTTTGTAGGTTGTTAGTAATGAGGAGGAAAATGAGGGAACAAATTTTGATGCCAATGGGAATTCCACGAGACAGGACCATGCCATGCAGAGTTTGTATGGAGAACACAGTTGGCAGAGCTCCCTTTGGTCATGGTGGGGAATAAGGACAGAGAAGGGAAAGGAAGAGCACAGGAACTAGAGTTCTTTCCTCCTGGATCATCTGTGGCAGCCGTGGCCACACAAAAGGGAAAGAGAGAAGGGATTAAGAGTAGAAAGGAGAAAAAGGAAAGGAGGAAAAGAGAGAAGGAGAGGAAGAAACCAAGAGAAGAAAGTCCTCACTAGAAATTTCTCTTGTCCCTTGCCTGTAACTTCAAAGTTGCAAAATAAAAAAAGCAAAATAAAACAAAAAATTTAACTGAATGGAGAAACTTTGAAAAAATACTTTTAGGGAAAAAATGAAAACTGAAGAAAAAGAAAATTGTCCTCATCAAACTTCAAATATCATTTCAGCACAGGTACATACCTTTCTATTTTTTTTAAAGAACAAAAAATGCTTGCATTTAATTTAACAAAAACAAATTGGAAAAGGAGAAGAAATAAGGCTAAAGAGGATAAAAGAGGGGTTTGGGTAGGAAAAGGGGGGCAACACACGGCAAACCCAAAAAAAGAGACAATAAGAATGATATCTACCAGACAATGTAGTTTGTTTACCATAGCGTGTCCGATGCCTGAGTGCTTTGCGGAGAAGGGGGAAGAAAGGAAATTAAAAATTGTGAACAGAACGATTGTTAATTAAAAAAACTAAAAACAAAGATGAGTCGTTAGGGTGTTAGTACATTAGTCGGTTAGTAAAATGACACATCGCATGAATGATCTTGTGTTAGTTTTTCAAAAAAAAGGCACCCAACACAGAAAGAGAGAGTGGGGGAAGACAATGAGACCAGGACTCTATGGAAAAACCTCACCACTGGGACACAGTCAAGAAAGGAGCTGTTGTTGTCCACCAGCCATTGAAAACGCCCACTTCTTCCAAATATCACCGGCACCCCACTTGACCCGGTGAGAATTAGCATCATACTTACTTCCCATGGGCTCTTTCAAATGGAAACTGCCCGAGTTCCCTTCCCACCCTCAACACATACTGTTGTGAATGAAACCACCCCAAAGTTTATTATTCCATATGTAGATGAACCGAATTAAAATCCCAATATTTTTTTAATATCTGAATCTCACTATGTGGATGGACCTTTACGACATTCTCCTAGAAAGAACTTACACATTTACAGATTAAAGGCTACATTATGCAGCATTTTACAGCATCCTCTACGATTCCATCTGTATTTCACAGATCCAGGACCCTCTTGATTTCTGTGTATTTGCACAACCAGAGGAGAACAGTCTCCCTTTTCCCTCTCTCAGTTTAGAATAACTGTGTCATCATTAAAATACATGAAAAAAAGTTAGTCTCCCTAATTAACCAATCAGCTTATTATTTTGCTTGCCTTGCTTGCTGGGATGCTTCCCGTTGGATTCTCTCTCACCCTATTCCTTTTAAAGATGCCTTTCAAGCTTTTGAGCAATTTCTTGTATAGATAGCAGGAAGAATGGCAGGTTAAACAGGATTAGAGAAGTCCTACAATTAATCTCTTCGCTGATTTCAAATGCCAAGCTGCCAACATATCCTGAGGTGGGAGGCTGGAAGGTTGGAAGGCACACAATAGCAGTTTTGTGCTATTGTGGCACCCAGAGTTAAAGCAATTAATATGATCGGTGTGACCTTGGACTGAGGCAAGGTAAAGGGCAAACCCTCCTCCTACTCACACATACAAATACTTCACTATTTTGGCCTCTAAACCCAGTGGTAGTTTGAAACAGACTGAGATGATCCACATTTCTTCTTATAGTCTGAAGCCCCAGAGAAATCCTTGGGCTTGGCTCTCACTTGGTTTGAAGACAGAATCATGAATTGCTGACCATGAAGGAAGAAATGAGGCAAATTCTGCTCCATTTCCAAAGGAATACTCCAGGGGACTTCAGGTGAAATTTCCTTAGATGAATTTTTTGCCATAGTAGCCATTGACCCTTACTAAAACAGCAGATGAGCCTGCCATAAGCTTGCTATCAAATATTCATGAAACTATTAGTTTATTGAATAGGTGGGGGTTTCCCACCCAAAATGTACCCTAGAGAACTCAAAAAAGATGTTAAAATATTTTTAATGGGCAAAATGATAGCCTTAGATTATTCAATACTGAAAGGTTTCCATTTGCAAAATCACATCGCTCTTTTCAATAAGTTGCTTTGGATGCAAAAATCAGTCAGGATTTCAGTGAGGTCCCATTTTAGGGGTACTTTTTCCTATGAAATTAATGCTATCTCTGCCAAGAAATACCCAATACCATAGGATCTCTGAGGCCTTATCTAAAACAGAGCGCTCTGCTTAGCTGCATTCTTGGCATCAGATAGAGGCAGTCACCTTTGGGACAAAATGCTCAGCCTGTAAATCATTTGCACGTCACAACAAGTCTAGCACCCAGACCATGGATGAGCTCATAATCCTTCTGGAACATAAGGTGCTTTGCATATTTAGCCACCACACATGGCTGGGGAGGATTGTAATCAGCATTTCACAAATGGAAACTGTGATGTGGTAAGGTTAAGTGGCTTGTCCAAGGGCACAGAGCGGAGTTGGGCCTTAGAACTTGGAACAAAACAGAAAGCTCCAGGCTGATTTTCCTCAAATTACTCTCACTAAAACATCACAGCTAGTATTTAAATTACAGTTTCATTTGTCCTTTCTGATTTAAAGGACTTATTTGGGGCCTGATACCATTTTTAAAAAGTGTTTTTTAGTAGAAGCAAAAGTATAATTCTCTCAAGAAAATTGGAATTACACTAGACTGACTAGGAAGTGCGTGAGTAAGACAGAGTTGGATAACCAAATCTGTGAGACTCTTAACCTGATACCATTTTCCAATGCATCCAGAGTCCCTTCTCCACTAACCAATGCCTGAAGGGAATTATTTTGTGCCTTCTAATCAAAACTTGCACAGATCTTATGAAATTTTTGGTTTGGTCTCTGTAGCTCAGACATATAAAGTTCTTCTGTGTCAGCAAATTGGAAATTAACTTGAATTTTCTTAACACTGAGAATTTCTCTTCTGGGCAACTATGGCTGGAGATGATGAAAAAAATCATCAGCAATAGGACTTTTTGGCTTTGGAGAGAAAACAGAAGAATGATTTGAAAAAAGTCAAACTCAACATGTGTTAATTTGGAGATGCTTCAGTCTTGTGTTATCTGTCAACTTCACCACAGATAAAATGGAATCTCCCAACCAGGTGGCTTCTTTAACATACTTAAGTATGGAAATGATTGTTTTGACTATTGTGTGTTTCCAGTGTATGCCAGGCTAGGCCAGCTATTTACCATTACTAAGGGGTCATATGTTTATCAAACAGAAAACATATACAAACATCTGTTTATGTAGGAAGTCATTAAATCAATCAATTGAAGGAAAAAAATTCAAGAAACATGCCCTGGAAATCTGCATAGTGTTTTCTGATTAATAAAGAATGAATGCTGGCTAGCTGGGTTTCATGATAAATTCTTAAGTAGAAAAACCAAATGAAAATAGCAACATGAAACAGGCAGTGTTGGCATAGACCTTAACCTCTACAGGAAATGCTTTTCTTACACTGATATGTGCTGCTAAGGTACAGCAGCAGTAGCCGTTGTGGAATTGCAAACAACTTCACTTGGCCTGGGCTTCTGAAAATGTTGTCACCTGACGGAGTTGCCTGCTTAGAATCGGCAAGCGATGGGAGTTCTCAAGCACGGACAGAGTCAGGAAAGCTGCTCCAAAGTTGACATTTTTATTTGGGTCCTTTCACTTTCCAGGCCTCCCAGTCAACTGAAGAGTCTTGTAGAGACAGGGTAGTAATAAGGTGGGGCCACGGCATCAGGGAACAGAGAAACAGAGATCAGAAAGACCCCAGCTAATTAACTCCCAGGCTAGAGGTTAACATAACAATGCGGAGGGGGTTGGGGGTGGGTTGGTAAATTAAAAGGAGGCAAAAAAAAAAGGACATTTTTTTTCTTGAGGGAAAATTATGACATCATGGCTGTAGCTAACTTAATTAAAAAGAAAAACATATTCAAAGAATGAGGAAAATCCATCAAGCTGCAGAAACAAAATGCTGTCCCTAATTGAATTTAACAGTAATACGATAAGATTCAAATGTAATTAAGAAAATGATAAAAGAAAAGCAGAATAAAAAGGATGAAAATACTTATCATGGTTATTATCTATACAACTGATTTTTTTTTTCTTAAATAGCAAGTACAAATGAGAATTGAAGCATGAGTAGAAACATAGTTTAATCATTTTCCCTGTGAAATTGCAAAAGCTGGGAGAAAATTAGATTTCAACATAGCTGAACCCACATCTGTCCCCCTCTCTGCCTGGCAGGTCACCTGCTTCACACCCTTTCTACCTAGGAGGAGCCTCCCAGGCTCTCTCCCCTCAGCCATTACCTGCCGGAGGTTGCGTGTCACTTTGACATCATGCCAGGCGTTGTCGTTGAATTTTCCATTCACTGGCTCCACAATGGCCTCAAAGGCCCCGGAGCCCAGGTTAATGACCAAGGAGACCGCACCATCCTTCAGAGCCAGGTTGACATAGTCAGCCGACTTGCCGGTGTGCAAGATGAGCCCATTCCGCTGCCAGGTCTTGAAGGATAGGGTGATTTCATCGCTGCTGCTCTGGATCGGGTTCTGAGATAGGTCGTAGCATAGGTACTCCGAGCCTCGGAAAGTGGCCACATTCTCCTCTCGAGCTGAAAGGGATACAAGTGGAAAGCAGTCAATACTTGACTGACATGAGTCAGATTCATGGAAACAACCAAGAGAACACTGTCAAAGGCACTGCCCCTGTGCTTGCGCTGGTACCAACTCAACACTCCCTCCAGCTTCAAATACCAGGGAAAACAGCCGAGCAAGGGACTGGAGAAACCGTGTGTTCACACAAGGGCAAGATGACAAGATGGTGCAAGAGGGCTTGCTGCTGCCTTCCTTTCAAATCTACTCAGAGAAAATCCTGAAGAGAAATGTCATACAAAAGGCCAAGTGAAGTTGAAGTTGCTTTGTTTCGGTGATGACTTTAAATGCTTGTCAAAGAGATGGTTTAGAATAGATAATGAACTCTTCTGATTAAAAAGCTCTTTAGCTCTAGGTACTTTTTAATTGACCAATAACTAAAAATCAATTACCTTGAAAGATTTGGCCCTGACTTTTAATCCATCAGTAACCCAGCTCACTTTGGTTTCTATGATACAGTCCTGAGCCCAATGGAATGTAGCTGAGTTAGTAAGTGGGAAGTTGGACCCAAGAAAGTGCTCAAACAGGCAAGGGGAACAAAATGAAATTTGGTGAAGAGCTTTGACATGACAGCAATGCCATCCTTCGACCCAAGGTTAAGGGGCTTCTTCTCTGTGGGGATGGGTCTCTTTTCAGGTAACTCTGGTTCGACTCCCCATGTCCACACCCTATCCCCAAAACAGGGGGTCTCCAGGGCCAAAGCAGCACTCCAGCGGAGCCCATGTGCTCTTTCAAAATGATACTGCAGACGCTGGGACCCTGTACTTCTATGCACAAAGAGCCTAGACTATTTGCATAGGTCTTTCTTCATAATAGATCTTTCTGAAGACAAACCATGGTATCAGTTTCCATACAGTAAGGTAAGAAGAGAACCGTGGGGACTCTGTTTGGCAGTGTGGGTTGTGGCATCCTCACTCATTTATTCTAGAGTCCTTGTGATACAGGACAGAGCCAAAGGTAGGAAGAGAAAGGGGTCAGGTCCCATACTGAGTGCCAGAAAGTGGCTGATTCTCTCTGGACTACTATTTCCCAGTATGAAAACCAAGGTATCCAAAAATTCTGGAAGGGGCCTTCCGAGTAGCTACAAAAGTGTGTGTGTGTGTGTGTGTGTGTGTGTGTGTCAAAGTAGGAGAATAGGACATAGTTTTAATCAGTTGTTGGTGTGATTTATAATTTTGACGCACATGATGTGGACTTGCATTTATCTTTTATCTTCTTGTCAGAAAGCTTCAGAATATTCTATTTCATATCAGGATTGGAATAAAAACTGTCACAAAGCACTTCATTAATGAAGGAAAATTGGCCACAATATAAATATAGATATAAACTTCCCCTCTGGAGACAGGGGCTGAAAAGCGAGGTTGAGAGGCTTCTATTTTCCTTTCCAGAACTACGTTCCAGTCTTATGAACAAAAACATCAAGTTCACCTCCAATCAGATCCCTATCAACAATCACAGACCTCCATATATTACTGAAGTAAAATACATATTTACTTATCATGAAGTAAAAAATACTGAGGAGTCACTTTTATTATGGGGAGATATGACCACTTACTATATATTGTTCAACTAATCATAGCATTATGACAACATTAAAACATGAACCTCAACTTTGTACCCCAGAGAGCTAAAGAAGAAATTTGAACTTTCACATGTTTTGGAGGGTTTCAGTGGAACACATCTACCTATATATTTCTGTTTATACACACACTGGGATAAGCAAAGGGATCTGTCCTTCTGTAAATGACAGTAGTGCAGCTTATGCATTCATAAGGTAAAAGGACCACACAGCACAAAAATTATGGCTGATGCATGTTATCAAAAATAGACCCCCCCAAAAAATATAAAACAAGAACTGAACACTGCATGTTTGAAATAGATCCACCCAATCTTCTGGTGCAGTGCGCTGTCTGTTGTCACAATGTCTCCTCTCATTTATGAAGAAATGGCTTTGTTAAAATGCAACTGGACGACAGACCTGGAAGTGACACTGGTCTAAAGCAGAAGGTGATGAATCAAATGCATTTATCACAACTAGGCTCTTTCCTACAGACGTGGACACACACAGAGACAACTACTATGTGTGTCCTTGTACTGCATGTGGTACACTGGTAACGGGCATCTTCTATAAGCATCTGAGTTACACCTTGTGCACTCACTGAGCTGGGATAAATGAGCAAGAGAGTAGCACCTACAAAGAGAGGCTTACATTCATTGCTGAATATGTTTCAGAGGGGGAGGCCTTGACACAAAGCAGCACAGCATATTATTTCATGTGATATATGTTGCTCAATATTTTTCATAGAGTTAGAAGTCTGTCAAAATAATAAAACTTAGAGGTATAAGGGATTTTCAGGAATTGCTTAATATAATGACTTTATTTTATTAAGGAAGAAACTAATGATGAGGAATAAGTGAGTTGCCCAAAACAACACAGTTAATTGGTGGTAAGGTAGCCTTAAAGCACCTTCAAACTTTCCTCTAAATATCAGTTGCCTTTCCCTTTGGCCACTTGGGAGATTCCATATATCCCACGCTCCTTCTCCATGCCTGTGAATGAGTCCATGGATATATGGACTAACTTGCAAACCATCCTAAACCTTGGAGAAATTGATCCAAAATTAAACTCCTCTTCCTGGATGTAAATTGCACATGCTCACCAGAAGAAATGTTTCCCTTTTGCCTGTGGGTGTATTTAAAGTAAAAGAATTTGTTTCTTGCAGAAGGCCATAGCGGGAAAAATTACATCAGCATACAAAAGAGAATATCACAGTAAATAAATAAGATATAATACCAATGTGAAAAAGAAAATGCCTATGCAAATCACATGCATTATTTATGCTAATCACCACACAAATATATGGAGAAAAATGTTATGTAGCCAAGTGCCTTCCTTTGCAAGAATCTGATAAAAACCATTGCAACAATTCACAGCTTTCCCAGTCTTTCCCCTCAATGATGTATTTTCTCAGTTTACCTCTTCCCTGGGCCAGAGCAGGTAACCAGGCGCAGCATCACCCCAGCTGCCAAGATATCTCCTCCCATTGGTTGTCTATTAACAAACAATAGACAACTGAAAGTTCCTCTTGGAAACCTATTTTAGATAAGCGAGCTTAATACATTCTTAATTCAGAAAATACTTTCCTCTGACAGTTGCAGGGCGGAGAGGCCCGGCAATACATGGCCCAACCTGACCAAGAGTAAATAAAGGGCTGGGAAGGAGAGAAGAAGAACCTTGAAGAAATTATTCTTTTGTGAACTCTCACAGCAGACATTATTTTTTACCTAAGACCCCAAACGATCTTAATTTCCTTCCAGGAGCTAAGGCTCAAACAGTTTCTTATCACCTTGAAAACCATACTGGGTTGACAGTCAACATAACCAAAAAGGGAAAAGCAGATAGTGACAAACACATTTCTAAGCCCATTCAATTCTCTGAAGCCTCTGTTAGAAAAAGGTAATAGTGCCCCAAATCCGTTTGCTATCCATGGTGTTTACACTGAGAAGGATGTTGTAGAGACAATGCAGTCACCTTGTATGTATTCAGGCTAAATAGGTGGAGAAAATGAATGCAGGGGATTTTGTAACGCAGCACACAACAGCTTAGCATAAAACTACAGCTTGGCAAGAGAGAAGGCACGGACGTAGCTAATGGACTGTTTAGATCCACTTAAATTGTATCACCTCAAAGTTTATAATCAATTGCATAAGTGCTAAAAATGCTATTCTCGCCACATTCAGTGCAGAGCTCAATTCTATGACAACAGACCATTTAACTATTATTTGTTAATGTCCAACTGATTAAACACTAGATGTACTCTAGAGAGGTATAACTCGAGGTTTTAAATCAGTTTGTGTAAGATATATAAAGTAACTTTCTTTCAAATAGCTTGCTAATTGAAGTATTGATATGCATAAGCGTATACATATGCTTTCATACAATAGACCATAGCATCATGCATAACGTTAATAAGCATTAACTCAATCCCTTTCTCTACTATTCCTCCCCCAAATACAACCAACTGTTGATTTATGCAATGTCATTTCTCTGAAAAATTACAAAGTTAGATTAAAATATCCGATGTAATATTTTCTTACCATGTGTTATGGTTTGTGTCTGTGTGTCCCCTCAAAGCCTCATGCAGTCATGGGGCAGGCTTTTAGAGTTTGATTGATTATGGGTGTGTTAGCTACACCTGCCCTGGGGTGGATAGTTTGCATATGTAAGGGAGAGGAAGAGGCTGCTTGCAGCCATTCCTCCCTTTTTTGTGCTTGTTGCTTTTGCTGTGTTCTGTCACCATGAGCCATAGCCCACTGCCATGTGCCACTCTACCTTGTAACCTGCCAAGTATGGACTGAAACCTCCACAAACTGTAAGGAAAATAAACCTTTCCTTCCTTAATTTTGGGTGTTAGGTATTTTATCTCAGCAATGAGAGAAAAGTAACCAAGACACCATGCAATAGAAGAATTGGAGGCCTGTGATTCCTTCTGGTTTGGTGACTTCAAAACTCAAATTATGATTTGATATCAAGAAATTTGAACTTTATTTTGAAGATTAGGGAAATCATTGCATAATTTTACTGAAAGGGATGGAAGAATCCAATTCATGTTTTTAAAAAACTACATAACCTTATGAATTTTTTCAAGGATTGCCTGGGATGAGGTTCAGCTTAGATGTCAATATAATTCCTACAGTGAGTACATTTCACTGGGCAGGAATGCAAGAAAAATGTTCATAACAGAAACAGCCCAAGGAAAAGAGAGGCAGAGACGCTGGTGAGGCAGAAACTACAGGACAAAACCACAACTGGGCATTTAAGACCCAAGTTCAACCAGAGAAAACCAAGGATTAAATAAAAGAATGGAGGGAAAGGACACTGTTAGATAAGAAAAGAACATAGTGGAAATGTGTAAAGAAAGACTAGGCCATTTGCAAACAGGCATTCAAAGCTTTCTAA